ACTGCTTCTGGTGGTCCTTCGATACAGGTATGGAGGAAAAGGCATTAGCCAGATCACTAGCTGCATACGAGGTAACATGTATTAATTTGCTCAAGCAGTGAAACTACATCTGGAACAGCAGCTGCAACTGGAGTCAGCATCTGAATGAATTTTCAATAATCTGCTGTCATTCTCCCAGATCCATCTGTTTTTTGCACAGGCTGAGTTCAGTGGGGATATGGTGGGAATCATCCTTCAAGTCCTTGATAGTAGCAGTAATCTCTGCAATCCCTCAAGGAATGCTGTATTGCTTTTGGCTTACTGTTTTTCTAGGTAGGGGCAGTTTTAATGGCTTCCACTTGGCTTTTTCTACCATAATAGCCCTTACTCCACTTGTCAGGGACCCAGTGTGGGGGTTTCACCAGTTACTGGGTATATCTATTCCAATTATACATTCTGGAACTGGGGAAATCACTACAAAATGTGTTTGGGGACCCACTGGACATACTGTAAGACACACATTAGTTAAGACTTCATTAATAACCTGACCTCCATATGCCCCCTCTTTGACTGGTGGGCCACAGTGACATTTTTGGTCTCCTGGATTAGTTTCAGTTCAGAGCCAGTATCCAGTCATCCTTGAAAAATCTGATTATTTCCTTTTCCCCAGTGAACAGTCACTCTTGTAAAAGCCCATAGATCCTTTGGGGAAGGCTGGGAGAAAGATTAACAGTATAAATTTTTGGCAGTGTAGTGGAGTCCTTCCTCTCCCCTTCATTCAAAGGGTTGTGGGTCTGTAACTCTCTCAAGTCTGGGAATTAAGTGGCCATGACTCTATTCTGGCGATTCAAGTTAGACTGCTGTTCACTCGACCTATAATTCTTCCACTTGTACAGATCAAGTAGATAGTAGATTTCCTATTTATTTCATTCCTGGGGACACCATGACTAAGTAGCCAATGCCATAAGTCTATACAAGTCAGACTATTCTGATTACTGATTCAACTCCACTGTCTGTTGTGGTAACCATGCCCACCCTGTCTTTGTTGATTGAGTGCTGCCACTTGGCCCCTACCACGGGCTCCATCCAGCCCCACTGTAGTTCCCGTTCCTGTCACGTCGATTCCAACTCATAGCAACTCTATAGGATAGGGTAGAACTGCCCCATTGGTTTTCCAAGGAGTGGCTGGTAGATACAGACTGCCAACTTTTTGGTTAGTAACTGAGCTGTTAACCACTGCACCACCAGGGCTCCATTGTAGTTAGGTGTCTTAATTCAGTTAGGGCAGTTCCCACTGTCAGATCTAACTTATATAAAATAGCAATCACAGCTGTCCTCAAGGATGTTGGAGCTCCCTTGTGGTAAGAGGTGTGTCCTCTGGGCACTCCATGTGTGGGTCTGTGGCTCTAACCTGATATATCCACTCTAACATGCCAGTTTTCCTAAGCCTTTGGATACCTTCTTCTACAGGATACCAAGGTAGGTCTGGTACTTCAGCTTGATACAGTGTAGGCCACTGCGTAATCCATGCTTCAGCGACCTAACCAAATACACTATTATATCCTTTCCTAACCTCTCGCACTGAAACATTGAATGAAGAATCTGTGCTTAGTGGGCCCATATCAATAAACTCAGACTGATACTTCTTTATGTTCCTTGCATCATTATCCCACACCCTTAATAGCCATTCCCATACATACTCCCCAGGTTTCTGTTTGTACATATTAGAAAAGTCAAGCAGTTCTTTTGGAGTGTGGTGTACCTCTTCCCAGGTCACACTTTGTACTTCACCTTTTGGGACTCGCTGGGACTTAAGTCTAGTCATAGGTCTAGAAGCCAAAATGGGTGGTGGGGGGTGTGTTTTGAGAACATTCAGCATTGTCTTGTAAGGCATCTGCCTCAGGTGATGCCCCAGGCAATGATTCATACAAAGGCTTTTCAGACATGGCTGGGTTAATCTCATCGGATGGAGGTAGAGGGGCTAATGGTTTTACTGGAGAAGGTGGCTTAGCAGACAAAGATGGAGTAATCTCTTTAGGTGGGAGTGAGAGGGCTGGTTCTGTTAGCAGGAGTGATTCAATGGAATTTAGGGGCTTGCTGTCCCCAGCTTCCTGATTATCTGCCATACATCCCCATCCCAAGTTTCAGGATCCTATTTCTTCCCAATCTATTTCCTGGCTTTAACTTCAAACACTGCTCAACCTTGGGAATTCAGCTGGCCTTGTAATTCAGCCACTTTTATGATAAGACTGTGGTTTTTGTTTGGTTTTCAATGGTATCAGTTCTGTTAACTGCAAGAAATAAGGCTTTCTTTCAAGGAACAAGTGGAAACTTTGAGGTTGTTTATGCAGCGCTCGAGCTTTGACTCTGAAGCTCAGAGCTCATCTCTTTCTTTCACCACTTTGTCTAGCAAAAGTAGAACCAATCAGCTTCCTTATACTTCTCATTGTGACAAAATTGTAGAAAGGTATCAAACATGTGATCACCCAGAGCCTCGCCTCTCACCAATACCTGATCTATTGGTAGTGATGTTTTGCTTATTTCTGTTGCCATCTCACGCCATGGATTAGCAGTGCCCTCTTTACTACTGGAGGCAGAGTCTTCAACATCTTTTAAGACTAAGCAGACACGAGAACCAATTTAGAAAACTCATCCGTACAATTTTGTTTCTCTGGAACGACTCTTGGTACCAAATGTCTTAGGCTGGGTTCTCTAATGAAGCAGAAGCAGTAAAGGATATAAATATACATAGAGATTTATATCAAGGATATGACTCACACGGTTGTACAGGCTGGAAAGTCCGAAGTCCATGGGTCAAACTGGAGGCTTCTCCTGGCTCATAAGCTGCGGAGACTGAATCTTGGGATTGACAGACAAGACGGCAGCAGGTAGGCTGTTAGCACAAGTCCCAAGAACCAGAGGTCAGACAAATAGGAGCCAGCTGCAAGATCCAGATCAAGCAAAAGCCCACGAGCCTTGTGAGAAAGTTCACCTATATTGGATGCAGGCCACACTGCCAAGGAAAATCCCTTTCAACTGATTGGCTTGTCACAGCAGAACCCATCACGGAGGTGATCACATATCAGATCTCATCATGGAGCTGATTACATCATTATACAACTGCCAAACTACGTCTTAACTGCCAGACTGCTGGGAATCATGGCCAGTCAAGTTGACACACAACCTTAACAATCAGAGTGGAAGGAAAGAGATTTGACAATAAGTAAAGTGGGATTTGGGCTTAAGGGGGTATGTTGTCAGGCTAAAAGAAAGTTGAACGTGTTTATAGTTGTGAGGAATGAGCACAGGAGAAAGGATAATGGATAGAGCAAGGTCCCAGAGAAAGGGAGCGGGCATAGGGTCAAGTGCAGAGATGGAGAGGCTGGCCTTGAATAAGAACAAAGAAAAGCTCATTCTCTGAGGCAGGAATGAGGAGGTGAATACAGGTATAAGTAAAGATAAGTTTGCAGGAGATGGAGCAGAGATTGTGGATGCTCATCACACCTGGTGACTTTGATTTTCTTTATGAAGTAGAATATGAAGATTGTAGATGGGCTAAAGTTGAATAGAATTGTTGAGAAGAGTGATGAATGTTTGGCAGAGCCATTTAGTCATGAGAGGAAGCTGAACGAAGATAGGTTAAAAGGGTGAGAGTAGGCCCTGAAGGCCTTGTGGTATGATCTTGTTTGTATTGATGCCATTCGCACAACAATGTTATTTTCCCACAAAAAAGATAAAATGTAACATTGATCTAGTTCGGGTTTTTCTGGGTTCCTGAAAATATGAAAGTATATGAGGTGATATCCCCGAACTCATTGTATCATCCAGGACAGGTGAAGTGGAGCAAGATACACAAAAAGGGCATAGGGTATTATGGGACCAGAAAACAGGAAAATCTAACATGGGGCGGGTGGAGGTGGGAGATGGGCAGAAAAGAGCCCCCAGAGAATGTGCCACTTGAGCTGCATTCTGAGAGCATGAATATATAGGACTACGCCTGGATAGGGTGTTCCAGGCAAAGGTGCATCGTCTGTACCAACCCGAAGGTTAAGAGTTGTGGTACATTTGAGGAACTAAAATAAGTTCAGTGTGGAGGAGATGAGGCTGGCAAGTAGAAGTATACTGTAATTCAGTGTTCGCAGTGACTGTAGAACGTAACTACCATAAATAATGATAATCAACTGTATTTATGTATTTATTTACATGAATTGACCGTTCCACCCTTTGTGGAATGTGGGGCAAAAGCATCATGAGTATAGGTTTTGTGATTGCAAATTAATTTTAGGGAGTAGGCAGATTCGCCAATACAGAATCTACAAATAATGAGGATTGACTGTAACTCTTTTTCAAAAAATAAAGTTTAAAAAACTGGGAAATACTGGCTTGAAGAATCAGTAACCATTTCGAATTAAATATGTCTCAAATAGAACTCATGATCTTTCCCCAAAGCTTATTTCTCAACTTCCTCTTATCATCTGACCAAATGGGAAGCAGCCCTTTGTGCTGCCTCTGTGCTCTGCAGTATATTGACTTTATAATGCCTATAACCCTACTGGATTATAAATTTCTTACATCCCTGGTCTTCAAAATAGTGCCTGGCATGTAGTTAATGCTTAGCAAACACTCGAATGAATGCCACTTTATTCTGCTACCTTATTTATATGTCAGTCTCCTTTTACAAGATTACTTCCTTTAGGGTAGGGGCCTCATGTTCACCTTTGCATTTCCAGTGCCTTGCACAGAACCTGGCTCATAGTAAAGGCTCAGTATATGTTAGCTATTGGTTCTGTTATTTTCTTCTTCATCACCATCATCTATATCATCATCTACCGTTAGAGTACGTTTTTATTCTCATTAGTTTTTTAATCCTGGTGATAATATAGTGATAATTTAGGGTTTTGCTTTCTTTTGGGATTTTGGGTGGGGGCTCAGTTTTAGAGCTTTAGGTTTAACTTGCAAAAGTCAAAACTTTGAATGTTATGCAGGTTGACTTTGACATTGTTTACTGTGCTTAATTTCAGATACATCTATATAATGGGAATTCAGGAAAGAAACGAGAAGTTGTTTTATAGAATACTGGAAGATGATATTGAAAGTCTAATGCCAATTGTATATACACCAACAGTTGGTCTTGCCTGCTGCCAGTATGGAAACATCTTTAGAAGACCTAAGTAAGGCTTATTTATTTTAAAAAATATATATATAAATGATTACATGTGGGGGAAAAATCACTCCATAATAGCTATTACATTTTCATTTTATGTGTTGTAGACTTACCCCAATCACATATTTTTTATTTGTATAGAAATAGCATCAATTCATTGCTGACCTTCTTTAAATTATTGTGATTATTAGGGGATTATTGTGTTTTTTGTACAAAAATAAAGTAGTCTTAATTTTGGTGGCAGATTCTCCAGAGTTACCACCAGAGTTTTTGGCAATCTGACCACATTAATGAACTGATTATTTCTCATTTTTTTATTAGCTTTAATTCCTATTTTTTGTTTTCTTGTTTTATGAACTTTCATAAATTTTAATATCAATAGTTATAGCACCTCCAACTCTTTTAAGTGGAAAGAGTATTAGAATGGGTCATTGACTCAAGTCCTTAACTGAGTCACTAATCCCTCTGAATTTGTTTTCTTGTTTGTAAATAGGGATAACAGTACCTATTAAAGAGCTGTTGAGATTAAATGCAGAAACTGATGTGATGGTTCTTTGTAAAATTATAAGCATTATATAAATGTGATTTTTACTTAATTTCAGTTTTCTTTTCTTGTGCCTCTAACCTAGTAGGATTCTCCTCACTCCTAATATCTTTCCCATGTTTAGCTAATGTTGATACAGATGTAGAAATTCAAACAAAGGTGTGATAACATTACCTTCCGTTTCCCCTCTTCTCAAACTTTAATGTGCATAATAAACATCTGTGAGACTTATTAAAAGTATTGATAATTATTAAAAATGGTGATAACCTGTCTACTCCCCTCTCCTTCCCATCCCCCAAATCTGATGAAATAGAGGTCTAGGGTCCAGATTTTAATGAACACACTTAGTGATTTTGTTGCAGATATTCCCTAGAAGACACTTGAGAAACATTGTTCTATCCTATATGCTTCCGTCAATTAATGTTTCTAACCATTTTTATGATATATCCCAGCTTTTCAGCTCCTTTAATATATATTTTTTTACTCAGAATAGTGGTTCTTCAACCAGATTAAAGGAAGAAGGGAAACCTAAAAAACACTGATGCCTGAGCCCCAACCCCAGAGATTCTGATTCAGTTAGTCCAGAGTTAGGCCCAAGTGTTGGTGTTTCATAAAAGCTCCTGGGTGATTCTGATGTGCAGGGATTGAGAACTGACATGAAACCTGAGGAGCATAGCTTTTGGGTGAGACCAGATATTGTGTATTATTTGTGCAGTGTACCGTGTAGTGGTTTTGGGTTTGTTTGTTTTTTTTCACATGGAAGATAATCAGCAAATCTTGGTTGGTTGGTTGATCCAACCTCCAGGTCAATTAAATCAGAATCTCTGAAGGAAAATAACTATATATAAAAGGAAAGGAGAAGGGAAACAGAATGATTCACTACAAAAAATCAACTACACACAAAAGAAGGCACTTTGGGAGGAAATGAGAGACAAAGAAGGTATGTTGTTGTTAGGTGCCATCGAGTTGCGACTCGTAGTGACCCCATAAGACAGAGTAGAACTGTCCCATAGGGTTTCCAAGGAGCACCTGGTGGATTTGAACTGCTGACCTTTTGGTTAGCAGCCAAGCTCTTAACCACTATGCCGCCAGGGCTCCTAAAGAAGGTGTAAGACACACAAAAAACAAATAACAAAATGGCAGAGATAAGTCTTTCCCTGTCAGTAAATACAGTGAATATAAATGGACTAAATGCTCCAATCAAAAGGCAAAGTGGCAGAATGAATTAAAAAACATGATCCAACTATACATTGTCTACAAGAGACACATCTTGGGCCCAAGGACACCAATAGGTTGAAAATGAAAGGATGGAAAAAATATTCCATGTAAATAGTAACCAAAAGAGAGCTGAGATGGCAATTTTAATATCATTCAAAAGACTTTAAGTGAAAATTTGTTATAAGAGACAAAGAAGGACATTATATAATGATAAAAGGGCCGATTCCTCAGGAAGATGTTATTAGTTGCCATCAGAGGCCCAAAATATATAAAACAAACACTGACAGAATTAAAGGGAGAAATAGACCATTTTATAATAATAGTTGGAGACTTCAATACACCATTTTCAATAGTGGACGGAACATCTAGAAAGAAGGTCTATAAAGAAATAGAAGATTTGAACAATGCTGTAAACCAACTAAACCCAACAGATAGATGGATAGATACATACCACTCCACCCAGCAACAGCACAGTGTACATTCTTCTCCGGTGCACATGGATTATTCTCCAGTATAGACCATATGACATGTTAGATCACAAAGCAAGTCTCAATAAATTTAAAAAGATTGAAATCATGGCTGGTATCTTCTCCAACCATAATGGAATGAAACTAGAAATCACAATCTTTGGGCATGGGACCCTGGGCATCTTGCATTTTTCAGAAACTAATCCGATGATTTTAATATGCAGCCATGGTTAAGAAATCACTGAAGTAAACTGATTGAGCTAAAATAGTAATGCCAAAGTTTAAGATTCCAGTGAGAAAGTTACGTGTAAGAATCTGGCCCTCATCTCTGCCTGACCTATTTTGTAGAATCCATATTTCCGTTTTTTATTTTAAGTTTCAGTTGGGTAACAATACACTATATTTCAAATACTCATTTTTTCCTAACCCTCCAAGCGCGCCATCTTTTTTGTAAATTTACTGTGATTTTCTTCCCTCCCTTCCTGTTTCTTCAAATTTCATATTTTGAGTTTCATTGAATTTTAACAGTAGTTACTTAGCCTTATTATGTTCACCCGCACTGGTGATTGATCTTTATATCATTTTTAACTGGAGGTGTAGTAAGTTTATTTGAACATGAGGTGTTAGATACATTTCTTCTTCGGTTAATTGGTCACATCATTTAACAATAATCTTTGTTGCAGCTGCTGTATGAGCAGTGTAATGACAGTTTGGAGTAGTTGAAAATGTTTGAAAATAAGCAGTGTGACCTAACTAAATCTGCTTGGAAATTATACCTTGTCTTGATGTTTTATTAAAATATCTAGATATTCCAGTTACGAACAAAAACTTAGAAACAAACAAAAAACTGTTGTGAAATGCAAAGGTGTTTTTGTTCTGTTGCAGGGGATTATTTATTTCAATCTCAGACAGAGGCCATATTAAATCAATTGTGGATAACTGGCCAGAAAATGATGTTAAGGTACTAATAGCACAACCCTCCTTTTCACAATGTTTTTTCTTTCCTTGTAAGTTGCCTCTAAATTTCTGAGAACGGTTTTTCATTGTTGCTCTGATTGATTTTGCACTTACATAAATGCAAAGTTCATGCTTTGTATCTGAGAATATTATAATAGTAATAGTTATAAAATGGGGAACTGGTATGGAGTTTGACTCAGGAAGAAATTGGAGCCTGTTCACTGTCAGTACCACTGATGTCTTCTGCTTTTTCAATATCCCTTTTCTATTTCAACTAATATTATTTTAGGTAGAGAAAATGTATTAAAATGGCGGAAGAAGTTTTATTCTGGTGGGTGCTGGAGAGGATTGGTTATGCCCTTTTTCTTCTAAATCTAAGGTAGATTTAGATTCTTAGCAAAAATAAAACTCGTAGAGTTTTGAATTTGGCAGACATAAACCTTAGTCAGTCTAGCTGTCTTTCATAAATAAAACTGAGTAACTTTTATTTTTAAGATCTTTTGGTAGGCTTTTGTGTTTATTACAGGCAGTAATCTTACACATGCCTTTATTATATGGTTTCCTTACCAAAATAAACATTGGTGAATAATCATTAGTTTAATAATATAGAAAAATATTTGGTCAGATAATTGAAACTCATGATGTCATCTTAAAATCCTGTAGGTAGGTATATTTTTTATTCTAGATCTTTTTCAGTGCGATACTAAGATTTTTTGTTTGTTTGTTTAATATAGCTTATGTGTGTTGGAAGAGTGTGTTGGGATCTCTTTACCAAAAGTTTGTTCACCTCTCCCATACTTAGTTTTTCTGACAGTATTTATGTTGGTACTCCAGTCAGAAGTATTCTACTCCTAAAGCAAAGTCAGAGGGAATTCAAATCTAGCTCTTTTTTTTTTTTAACATCTCTTAATAGAAATTCTAGAATTTTAAGTGTGACTGGTTGGTTCACTTTGGAAGTTAGTCAAGAAACAAGTTTATTTTTAGAAATGAGAGTAAAAGCATATGAAGAGAAGCAGTCTTTTTTAAAATGCTTTTCTCTGGTGCTCCATTTTTGGCAACTTTTAATTTGTATTTTTTTTGTTATTAAGGCTGTTGTGGTGACTGATGGAGAGAGAATTCTGGGTCTTGGAGATCTGGGTGTCTATGGAATGGGAATTCCAGTAGGAAAACTTTGTTTGTATACAGCTTGTGCAGGAATACGGCCTGATAAATGCCTGCCTGTGTGTATTGACGTGGGAACTGATAATCCAGTAAGTAACATTATTGTCCCCCTTTGACCCTCCTGTATTTAAAAAAAATTTACTATATTCCTTTTTTGATTATGATAATATAAAAAGAAAATTTTGTGATTAGAGGTTAGTCTTTTCCTTAAACTTCACTTTTTAATTTTATACAAATAATAGTAAGTTAAGCCTATAAGTCTAGACAGAGCTTTTATTATTCACAAAAACTAACCCAAAATGGATCACAGACCTAAATGTAAGACAGAACTATACCACTTCTAGAATAACATAGCAAAAACTCTAGGTGACCTTGGGTTTGGCAGTGACTTTTTAGATATAACACCAAAAGCACGACCCATAAAGAAAAAGTTGATGTTAGATTGTATTAAAATTAAAAACTTCTCCTGTTAAGAAAATGAAGACAAGCCACAGACTAGGAGAAAATATTTGTAAAACACATATCCAATAAAGAACTTGTATCTAAAATAGATAAAGAACTCCTAAAACTCAATAAGAAAATAACACAATTACAAAATGAGCAAAAGATCTGAACAGACACCTCATCAAAGAAGATACACAGATGACAAATAATCATATGAAAAGATGCTCAACATCTTATGTCATTGTTGTAGTTGCCTTTAAGTCAGTTGACATGAGTTTTATGTCATTAGGGAATTACTAATTAAAACAACAAGATACCACTACACACCTATTAGAATGGCTGAAATCCAAATTGCTGACAGCATCAAATGCTGGTGAGGATGCAGAACAACAGGAACTCTTATTCACTGTATGAAAAATGGTACATACAGCTACTTTGGAAGGCAATTTGGCAGTTTTTTTAATAAAACTAAATATAATCTTAATATACGATCAAACAATCACACTCCTAGTTATTTACCCAACTGATTTGAAAACTTATGTCCATACAAAAACCTGCACATGAATGTTTATAGCAACTTTATTCATAATTGTCAAAAACTGGAAGCAAACAATATGTCCCTCAGTAGGTGAATAGATAAACTTGGTGTATCCATATAATAGAATATTACTCAGCAATAAAATGAAATGAACTACAAGCTGTGAAAAGATATGGATGAATCTTGAATGCATACTACTAAGTGAAAGAAGCCAAGTTGAAAAAGCTACATACTGTATGATTCCAACTATATGACATTCTGAAAAGGCAAAACTATAAAGACAGTGAAAAGATCAGTGGTTGCCAGAGGAAGGGGGAAGGCATGAATAGGTGGAGCACAGGGCATTTTTAGGCAGTGGAACTATTCTGCGTGATACTGTAATGGTGGACACATGACATGCATTTGTCAAAACCCATAGAACTGTGCAACACAAAGATTGAACCCTCTAATGTTAACTGTGGATTGTAGTTAATAATAACGCATCAATATTGGTCCATTAATGGTAACAAACATTCCACACAAATACAAGATGTTAATACTAGGAGAGTGTACGCAGGAAGAATGGCATATAGGAACTGTCTACCTTCTGTACAATTTCTCTGAAACCTAAAACTACTCTAAAAGTCTATTTAAAAAAAAAATTTTCTTGAAGGATATAAAGGTTAAAAATGATATTAATAACTATTTAAAATTTTTATATAATGTGTTTAAACTGGTTATATAATAAAAAATGGTGTTATTTTTACATTTGATTTATTTTCTAGGCACTCTTAAAAGATCCATTTTACTTGGGCTTGTATCAGAAAAGAGATCGCTCACAACGTTATGATGATTTGATTGATGAGTTTATGAAAGCCATTACGGACAGGTATTAAAAAAATGTTTGAGTATATAAAAGCATCTTTAGTTTAAAAAAAAAAAGGACCACAGTTTTGTCTTGTTTTCCTTTATCTCTTGTGAAGATAGGCAGCAGGAGATTAACTTTGATTTTATTCTGCCTCATTGGATGTGTATACTGCCAGCCTCTATTAATGGCAGTAACATTCACCCTGTTGCCAAGCGTTTGATCTTAATGTGATCTTTGACTCTCCCTCCTTCTCCATCAACCCCCATGCAGTCGTTCAATCTTGAGATGCAGGTGGTACTGCCACTCAGGTGCCTCACAAATACATCTTCTCTTTTCCATTGCCACAGCCTCACTGTGGAGCCTTATGTCTCTTCTGGATTCTTCTAACAGTTTCTTGTGATTTCTCTCCTCTGCAGTTCATCTCCACCTTACCATCAGATTAATATTTTTAAAATGTGCACTTTATTATGCCATTCTTTTGCTTGAAATCTTTCAGTGATTTCCTCCTTCCATCAGATAAAATTCAAAGTCCTTATCTTTATGATCTGGCCCTGGCCTGCCTTTCAGATTACTGGCACATAGAAGATACTCAAGAATTTATTCTTTTTCAGAGTCAAAGTTGGCATATCTAAAACTGGACTTTTCCTCTCCCCAGAAATTGCCATCTCTTTTCTCCCCCTCACTTCCCTACCTTGGACAACCAAATAATATCTTCTCGGTCATCCATGTTGCCTTGGCATTTTAACTTCTCCTTCATTTCCAAGTTGGTCCTCAACATCAAGTACTGTTTGTTCATTTTAACGTCTCATAGTTGTCCCTTTTACTTTCTATGGCTTCTGCTTCAGATCTTCTTGTCCTCATATCACAATAGCCTTCTAGCTGCTTCTCTTGTCTTTCCCATGTTCCCACGCAAGTGTGTGCTATGCATTTCCTACGGGTTCATCCTTCCTAAAGGGATTCTAAGATAATTCTTTCCTTCTCTGAAGCAGTCAGTGATTCTACATGGGATGAAGGTTAGAGTCCCCATTCCTTAATTTGGCATTCAAGATTCTCCCTTATCTGGCCCCAAACTACCTTAACTGTCTTATCCCTTATCCTGTAGTCTAAGCCCTGAAATATAGAGCCAGACTGTTGAAAATTCCGGGTTACCAAAATATGCCTTATTTTTCTTCCCACCTTTTCACTTGTTCTTGTTTCAGGGCCCAGTAAAGTCCCACCTCCTTTTCAAGCCTTCCCTTATTACTCCAGCTTACCAAGATGATTGATGTCTTTTTTTTCTGAATGCCAGTGAACTCATATAGCAGTTATTTTTCAACCACTTAATATATACTTTCCTATGTTGCTGTTTGACTGTTAATGTAATAAGAACATACATGTATATATATATATTTTTTTAAGACTTTGGGGAAAAATTGCTTCCTTTTTAGAATCTAGTTGTTAAAATTCCTTTTAAATTATTTAATGTTTATATGTACTGGGCACCCTCGTAGGCACTTGGAAATAGTTTACACAAATTGATATCACATAAGGCGCCATCATAGTGCTACATTCGTTTTAAGCACCCCATGAATATTTTTGGAACGAGTAATAAATTTCTATATCTTGGGCCTAGTCTTTCATAGGATCTGAAAAGTGCCAGAAGCCCTTAACTGAGCTAACATAATACATTATTTTAAAAATGCTATCATAAAGAATATTAGACAGAAAAACTGTTTAATGGTAGTATTTCCAATTATTATGGGTTTGCTGTTTTTAGATATGGCCGGAACACACTTATTCAGTTTGAAGACTTTGGAAATCATAACGCATTCAGGTTCTTGAGAAAATATCGAGAAAAATATTGTACCTTCAATGATGATATTCAAGGTAAAGCAAAAAGAAAACTTTATAAGGCTTTGATTCCTACTTTAAAACCATTTTTTTTTTTTTTATTGTACTTCAGGTGAAGGTTTACAGAACAAGTAGTTTCTCATGAAACAGTAGTACACATATTGTTTTATGACATTGGTTAACAACCCCACAACGTCAACCCTGTAACTTCTCAACCTTTGTTTTTGGTGAAAATACACATAGCCAGAGATACACCATTTCAAAAATTTCTACATGCACAGTTCAGTGACATTGACTACGCTCTTCCAACTGTGCTGCTATTCTCACTTAAGATGAAGGCTTACAGAACAAAATAGTTTCTCATTTAACAGTTACTACACATGTTGCCCTATGACAATGGTTAACAATCTCACAACACATCAACAATATCCTTACTCAACCTTGGGTTCCCTATCACCAGCTTCCTTGTCCCCTTCTGCCTTCTGGCCCTTGTCCCTGGACTACTGTACCTCATTAGTCCCATTTGCTTTTACGGGGCTGTCCACTCCCAGGCTGAACGGTGAACCTCAGAACTTCACCACTGAGCTAAAAGGCTGTCTGGGGGCCATACTCTCGGGGTTTCTCTAGTCTCCTTTAGGCCAGTAAATCTGGTCTTTTTTTTGTGAGTTAGAATTATGTTCAACATCCTTCTCCACCTCTGTCCAGAACCCTCTGTTGTGATCCTGGTCAGAGCAGTCAGTGGTGGTAGCCAGGCACCATCTAGCTGTACTGGACTCAGTCCGGTAGAGGCCTTGGTAGCTGTGGACCATTAGTCCTTCGGACTAATCTTTTCCTTGTATCCTGTTCTCTTCATTCTCCCTTGCTCCCGAAGGGATGAGACCAGTGGAGTATCTCAGGTGACTGCTCACAGGCTTTAAGACCCCAGACGCTACTCACCAAGGTAGAATGTAGAACATTGTCTTTATACTAAACTGTGTCATGCCAATTGAGCTAGATGTTCCCCGAGACCATGGTCCCCACAGCCCTCCGCCCAGCAATTCAGTCCCTCAGGGAGTTTGGATGTGTCTATGGGGCTTCCATGACCTTTCCTTGCATAAGTTGTGCTAGTTTCCCCTGTATTGTGTACTATCTCACCCTTCACCCAAGATACCACTTATCTATTGCCTATTTAGTATTTCCCCCCCACCCCTCCCATCCTTGGTAACCAACAAAGATTGTTACATTTTGTGTGTGAACTTTTTCATGGGTTATTACAATATAAAACCATTTTTAATGTGTTCATTTGTTATTTTTAAAAATATTTGTTTTTTTAAATAGGGACAGCTGCAGTGGCTCTAGCAGGTCTTCTTGCAGTACAAAAAGTTATTGGTAAACCAATCTCAGAACACAAAATCTTATTTCTTGGAGCAGGAGAGGTAAGTTTTGTTAAGTTTCTAGAATTTAAAAACTATACTCTCTTTTAGAATTGGAAAATGGGACAGAAGGTTGACATTGCATAAAAGATCATTACAACCAAGCTTATAATTTTGTTGAGATAGAGGATATGAATTCAAGACTTCTTTGTAAGTTAGATGATTTCAAATATGTTCAGAGACAATATCACAACGAATCAACTTTTGTGTGATTTGTAAAGGAGGAATATTCCTCATAATATTTTTCATAGTATATGATCTTAATACGTAAAGTAACTAAAGCATTGCAGCATACTGTAGTCTTTATTTTTTAAATTTATGTTTTGTTGGACAGGCTGCTCTTGGAATTGCAAACCTTATAGTTATGTCTATGGTGGAAAATGGCCTCTCAGAAGATGAGGCACAAAAGAAAATCTGGATGTTTGACAAGTTTGGTTTATTAGTTAAGGTAAGGTATTTAAAACTTGGAGAAGCGAAAGAATGTTGTTGCCATAAAATTTTGAGTTGAATGTTTAAAATATTATTATTTCTTAAAATCTTGCATCTCACTGGGCTATCCAGATTGTACTAATTGGGACCTTCCTGTGTATTCTTAACAAAAATCCTCCAGTCTCAAACTCTGGTCTTTTAAAAAGACTCTTGTTCATATTTAAATCATAATCTTTATGTTGGCACCAGACTTACTCATTCTTTCTTTGTTCTCTGACTCTTACAAAATTGAATAGCTATTGTACAAATAAGATTATATTTGACCTTTCTAAAACTAGGTTTTTAATGGGAACTAATTAAGTTGAATTGCTAGCAGTACATCTGATATTTGAGCAGAAGTTCTTTAACCCTTTGGAGATCATAATCCTCTGTAGCAGTCTAATAAAATCTATGGACCGTTTCCCCAGAAAAGGGGAAACCAATTAATGGATAAAAGATAAAGAGCTTCTCTCCTAAATTAACTAATACCCTTTGAGCCTGCCTTCCTTAGCATTGATTGCCATTTTTATTGGTTTAATGAACGTTTTATATCTTATACTTTGTAATACATTGAAATACAGGTAAACTGTTTTATAATTGAACCTATCCAGTACACAGTGCACTTACGTTTTTACTATAATCTGATGCTATACAGCTATTTGTCATTTACATCAATAAAGCAAGCTATCTCAATGCATTTTGCTCCAGTCATGAAATCTTTTCTTAATTAGTTACTGGTATTCTATTAATACAAAGAATAAAATAAAAAAAATGTGAGTGAAAAATCTTCAGTGCTTAAATTATACATAATTTAAAATAATAGGAGTTTGAAATGTACTAGGTATTGGGAGAAGACTTTACATGTATTGTCTCGTTTATCCTCTCAAGAAACCTGTGAAGTTTTACAAGTGAGGAAACTGAGGCTCCATCACCTTATGAATGATGGAGATTGGATTCATAATCAAGTAGTCTAACTGTGAAGCCTGTGCTCTTAACCGTTAAACTGCACCGCTTCCCAAGAGGGCTCTAACTACCATACTTGTTAGTATGTAAGACTCAAGGATTCTAAGACATCACACCGGTACAAGGATGTTGGAGGGATATGCATTTTTACTGGTACACAGTTAATTTGGCACTTCTTTTTTGTGACATTGGTTATCATCAACTGTTTTGTGATTCTTTATAATATTTGTAGGCATGTCTAGAATGAAATGGTATTGGTAACTGCAATATATTTCTTTAGCCCACATGAGAATCCCTATTCATCTGCAGGTTCAGAGTATATACTTCTCTGAGGGTGTACAGGTAGCTTGACCTATGGACTTCAGTCCTGTTGGTCCTAAACACCGCCCTCCTTTTTGAGACATTGAGAGTTTCCAGTTAAACCCCCATATTGGAGAGCTTTAGTCCTGGTCAGAACAAGCACAAGAAGCTACTGTTCTGAGAACATGTATCTGTTGAGGCTTTATTTCAGTCCTTTAATTAACTTCCCAGCCAACTGATGATGCTGTGCTTCTTTTCCCAGCCCCTGCTGGTTCTTATCTGGGTTATTCTAGAACTCTGATAGAAAAATTCTCTTTGCAGGGGATGTCTTCTCTTTTGCCAATATGGAGATACAGGTTTCTCAGCCTCGCTGGGTTTTGCATTCAATATGTTTTTGCCTGATTTAAATCTTCGAGAAAGTCTTTATTGTCCTAGTCTGTTAGTGGTACCCCTCCTGGATTGGTAGCACTAGTATTTCATTATTGTAGGTTTTCACCTGGGATTTGTAGGGGAGAGCATAGCATATTTCTTCATTCAGCCATCTTGAACCAGAATTCCCTATTCCTCTTGTTTCTGAATTCTTGGTACTACACATCCACAATCTCAAGCTGCAATTCTAAAATCCTAAAAACTCTGAAATTCAATTTTTTTTTCTGAAATTAGTTTGGTAACAAATCTGACTGACCTTAACTTACCTGGTAGTAAACCTGATCTGAACTGGTGTGAGGCCTATTTGTAGTCTTAACCTTTTGTACTTGGTGTGACTATTCATAAGTTTTGTACAACTGTGGGGTGCCCATTGGGTGGATATGTAATGCTTGATTTATTACTGTATTACATTTCTAAAATATGAAAAATTTTGAATTACAGAACACATCTAACACAGAAAAGGCATTGTAGACCTTTGTGCCATATTGGATTTAGGAGGAATTCATAGAGTAAGTGAGTTTTTGAGAGAGACTAGAAAGTTTCTAGGTATTTTTGGGATTTGATTTATGTTTTATATTTGAGTTTACACTGTGAAGGTAGAATCGGAAGATGTGGGTTGAAGAGAAAAGTAAATGGAAATGCAAAGATGTTTCTATTGTAGAAATAATGTGTGACTCATAATGATTTCTTTTCAATTAATTCTTAATATGCATTTAATAAAAAATACTATATTTAAAAATTCAGGAACGGAAATCTAAAATAGATATTCATCAGGAACCATTTGCTCACCTAGCCCCAGAGAGCATACCTAATACTTTTGAAGATGCGGTAAATGTACTTAAGCCTTCAGCTATAATTGGTGAGTAAAGTTGTTGATAGTTTATTTAAATGTATGTTTCCAGTCATAACTGCCATGCAGGATTACTAAAAATGAACTGACAGATTTTTATCTATCTTTCAGCATATATGATAGCTTTTCTGTAATAGCTTTTTCGTTACTCTACATGTAAGTTCAGTTAAGGGATGTGGCTTTTAAGTCCTAGAAACTATGCAATTCGTCATGTTTTGCTTTTAGAGTTGGTGTGACTGTTGAGCTCAAAACCTGGAAAAGACCAAGGTCATTTGACAGACTACATGGAAAGTCCTATGCAGAGGCAAAAATTTTCATTGACAACAAAGCTGAAAACTTTTGGTGCATTTTGAGAGTCAGGCGTTGCATACATAGATTGTTATTAGACTATGCCAACATGGCATGAAGTTCTCAGCATATAAAGTAAAATCTTCTAAAAGAGGAGCTATTTAATTTTCTGTATAGCTATAGGATTTTAATCTACAATATTTCTTGTAATTTTATCAATTGCATGAAAGATACATAGGTGAATATATCCCTAAAACCAACAAACCAAACCTGTTATTACTGAGTCGATTCTGACTCATGGCGACCCTATAGAACAAAGTAGAACTGCCTCATAGGGTTTCAAGGCTGTAATCTTTACGGAAGCAGACTGCCACATCTTTCTTCCATGGAGCGGCTGGTGGGTTCGAACCACTGACCTTTCTGTTAGCAGCCAAGCGCTTAACCACTGTACCGTCAGGGCTCCATGAATATTATCCCTATTGAATGTTAAATTGTAAAACATAATCACAACCACTAAGTTCCAGTGGTCAGGAAAGTATTTCTGTATGGCTTCTTTGATTAGGACTTATAATTTTTTAGAGCTAGAAGAAATCTTAAAGATCATTTAGTCCATTTCTCCCAAAACTCAGTGTGGAAAACTAATGATGTGTCCATTGACTCCCCCACCTCCTGAAGGTCAAGGAAATGAAAAGACAAATTTTTTAAATTCTGTTAGAACTCAGGGATCTGTAAGAATTTGTTCACATACCTTCACACAGAGAAACACTGGATATTTTACGTAAGGAAAACAAGTCCAGAGGTGCTAAGCAATTTGCCCCAAATCTGTGAATATTTCATATAGCCAGTAGTGATGGAGCAAGTACTAAAACCTGGGTCTCCAGATCAGTATTTTTCTCTATCATGTAACAGAGTTTATAAAATTAAATTAAAAATTTTCACTGTATTTAATGTAAGTATTCTTACTAGATGAAATGGATGAGTACTTAGCTGAAGTATCCCCAGATTCCCACCTGGGGCAAAGTATTCTTCCTTCATGCTGTGCTTCCATAACACATTCTTATCTGGGTTATTCTGGAGTTCTGTCCTAACACCTATTACAGGCTTTGTGATTTTTTGTGTGTTTGTTTTCAGCTATAAGCTGCCTGCATTATACTTGTTTTTATATCCTAATGGTATAATACAGTGCCTGGGACATTGTAGGGACATAATAAAAGGTTGTTAAACTGAACTGCATCAAGAAAATGGATTGCTGTAGTCAAGATGACCTGTGATCCCTTCTGAATTCCTTTTATTTTGTAATGAGTACCATAAAGTTTAACATTTGACACGAGATTTGTCTTAAAATGATGGAAATAGTCTTATACATTTTTTTAAAAATTGTCCATAACTTACTATGTATGTGTGGTAGACAATAAATATTTAAATGAAAACTTTCAGTGTTTCACTGTTTTTTCTTTCAGATTCGAAATTGTGTTCCCGTAGTATTATCTTATCAATGTGAAATCTTTCTTTGTAGTGGGCATTTACCTGTGACTTTGCTATGGTAAACCTTTTGTAGAAATGCTGTTGATAAGAATTGCTTTATAATACCAGTAATGAAGTTGTCTTTTCCTCCTTATTTATTACAGGAGTTGCAGGTGCTGGTCGACTTTTTACTCCTAATGTAATCAAAGCCATGGCCTCTATCAATGAAAGGCCTGTAATATTTGCATTAAGCAATCCTACAGCAAAGGCTGAATGCACAGCTGAGGAAGCATATACACTTACAGAGGTATTAATCCATATAATCATATGAATTGATTATTTTTCTTTTATTTTCCATCTATAGCTTGTTAGTTATACATTCTTACGTAATTCTTCTAGTGGTTACCCTAGAGATTACAATATGCACCCATGGTTCATCGAAGTCTAATATTAATTATTGCTTGTACTGGTTCTGGAAAGCAATTACCTTTAACTCCATTTTAACCTTCTTGCACCTTTTGTGCTGTTGTCGTTGTGAATTTTAATTCTTCTTGTATTTTAGACTCCAAAAGACGTTATTGTTGTTTAATACAAAAATTATTTATTTAGATTTACTACATTTTAATTTCTTCTATTGCCCTTCCTACCTGCGTGTCTGTGCTTCTGTCTAGGATTATTTTCCTTCTACCTGAAGAACTCCTTTTAATATTTCCTTACCTATGGGTCTGATGAATTCTCTTAGGTCTTTCTGTGTCTGCAAATTTATTTTTGCCTTCATTTGGAAGGACATTTTTACTGTGCATAGAATTAAAGGTTGGTAGTTACTTCAGCACCTTGAAGATGTCATTCTGTTGTTTTCTGACTTGTGTTTTCCTTCTGATAAATCATTTGGCATTGTTGTTTCAGGTCTGAGCAGTTTTACTATGCTAGGCCTAGGTGTACTTTTCTTTGTATTTATTCCAGTTGGGGATTATCGTGCTCCTAAATCTGTGGCTTGATGTCTTTTTTGTCTGTCTTGGAAAAATTTTAGCCAATATCTCTGCTTTAGCCACATTCTCGTTTGTTCTTCTAGGATTCCAGCTGCAGGAATGTAAGACTTTTTCACCATCTCTCATATATCTCTTAAACTATTTTCTACATATTCTATTCTTTTTGCTCCCTGTATTTCGGTATGGTGATTTTCTTTGAACCTACCTTCCAGCTCACAGATTCTCTTTTCAGCTGTGCTACTCTATTGTTAGGTTCTTAATTTCAGTTGTTGTATTTTTCATTTTTAGAATTTTTATTTGTTCTTTTTATAAATATTAATTTAGTGACACAGACTTAAAGCATGTATTAGACAAATAATAATTTTTACATACCGCTTTCTTGCCCTCATATTTTCTGAAACAATTCTTTTTACTCTCTTCAAATGCATCTTCACCATCAGTATTTCTTCTTTAGGTTTTTTGGGGTTTTTTTTTTTTTTTTTGAGTCATCTGACAGTTGTCTGGAACAAATTTTTACTTTTATCCTAGTTGTTTGAGATCAGTTCTTTTGAATCCATTGTTGCCCCCACTGAAAGTTTTATCCCAATTACAGGTACCTGCTTGTATGCTATTAGGACAGTTGTTTTTTCCTACCATTCTGTAGAGATATATTTGTAATCTTTATAATGTAATCACTTTATTGTTCTTGTGATTTTTAATTGTTCCTAGGAAGTGATACTTGCAGACTTGTTTACAGTGATATCTAGCAGTTATAATAATCATGACGTCATGACCTTGAGAATAATTAATAAATTTGTGACAAATGTTTTTGTCTCCCCTCTTTAAAAAAATTTCAAACATACAAAAGTAGAATAGTATAATCAACCCCCACGTATCAGTCATCCAGCTTCAAAAACAGTCAACTCATCGCCAGTCTTGTTTCATCTACATCCTGCTCACCCAAGATTATTTTGAAGCAGATCGCCTCAGACATCATCTCATTTCATTATAATTATTATGGAATATATCTCTAAAAGTTGAGGATTCTTTTAAAAATATTATCATAGTACTATTACACCTCACAATTTTTACAAGAATCTTAAACACTTATTTGATCCTTTTGTACAGCTTGCTGTTTCTGCTGAAATTTTTAGCTTATCGTTTAATTTCTTGAATATATGAATCATAATTATTTTAAAATTAATGTTCAATAGTTCCTAATATCTCGACTCTCTGTGAGTCTGTTTCTATTATCTGTTTTTTGGTTGTTTTTTTTTTTTCCCCTCTTGGTTATCAGTTCTTGCCTTTTTGTAAGCCTGGTTTTTATTGAGTACTGGATAGTGTGATAAATTGTAGTGATAACTTTGAGACTCTAGATAAAGTTATTTTCCTACATAGGAGCTTTACTTTTTCTTCTGGAGGTTAGTAGGCTGGGGCAGATCACCCTAATCAAGTCAGCTTTTCTCTTTTCTTTTGACATGAACTCCTTTGGGTGCCACTCAGAAGCCCTGGGGTGTTTACTAGCACCCCTTATTCTTAGTGGACCCTGAGATTAATTTTTCTTTCTAGCATCATGAGACTTCTGATAGCTTTGCTGCTCAGGCTCTCAGCCACCCTTTTGCTTTTGAAATCAGAAAGCACCTCGAAGGGGAAAGCTTCAAATGCTGGGCACCTATCTTACATTCCTCTTCTTTTGGATTTTGGATATCTCCCACCCCTAAGTTCTCATTATCTTGGTAGTGATCTGCTTCTTTCAAAAAAAAATTTTTAAATATATTTTGTCCAGTGTTCCTTCTTGTTACCAGAGGTAGAACTGGTAAGAACTGGTAATAGAGCAACCTAGGAGACCACTGCCAACGCAAAGCTCTCTCAGAACTTTCTGAATGTAATATTCATGCTCTTGATATATCTAACATTCTTTTTTCTCATTGTTAAAAATTTTATGCTGATACATATATTCCCTCAAAATTCCTATTGTTTGTATATTGTCACTCTGTGACAGTCAGTTTTTTTACTTGTGATTTCCAACAGTGCTGCTTTTTAAAAATTCTTCATTTCTATTTTATTGTTGTACTTTAAGTGAAAGTTTACAATTCAAGTTAGTCTCTCATACAAAAATTTATACATACATTGTTATGTGACCCTAATTGCTCTCCCTATACTGTGACAGCACATTCCTCCTTTCCACCCCTGATTCCCCATGTCCATTCAACCAGCTCCTGACCCTCTCTGCCGTCTCATCTCACCTCTGGACAGGAGCTGCCCATTTAGTCTCATGTATTTACTTGAGCAAAGAAGCACACTCTTCACGAGTATCATCTTACATCCCATAGTCCAGTCCAACCTTTGTCTGAAGAGTTGGCCTTGGGAATGGTTTTAGTGCTGGCTTGACAGAGAGTCCGGAGGCCCTGCTTTCTGGGGTTCCTCCAGTCTCAGTCAGACCATTAAGTCTGGTCTTTTTACTAGAATTTGAGTTCTGCACCCCACTTTTCTCCTGCTTCATCAGGCACTCTCTATTGTGTTCCCTGTCAGGGAGATCACCAACAATGCTGCTTTTATTAAATAATTATAATTATTGAAACCTGTAATAATAATTGAAATTTTTTAAAGTCCTCTACAAAGTCAGCATATAGATATAAAAAACAACAAAAAATCAGTCTCTTTAGTTTTCTGCCTTAACCAGTTTACCAGACTATAGTATTACTTTTTTTTTTAGCTGATTGCTCACCCTACTCACCAGTCTTTACTACTTAAAACTAATGGTTATTGCCCAAAAAAATTAACCCTTAATCTTACACAGTGATTAATGGTCACCATACTCAATGCTTCCAAAATATAAAAATTTTAAATGTTTTGAGGAGTATGTATCACTAGAAGACTGCGTGAATATTTAATAATTTTATTTTTTGAATAAGTGTTGTTAAATGTACATCATTGGGATGAATGGAAACACCCCAAGGAGACTGGTTTGATATACTGTACTTTATCAGTTTTAAGATGCAGATTTTTTTGCATTTTTTTATAACTTTGAAATTGTGCTGTCTCTTACAAAAAGCAATGATAAAACGTTGTGTCATAGTTTAATTTACAACAGTCTTCCTTCTTAGTGTTGAATAAAATAAGGGCATAAATTTTTGTGGACTTGCAGTCACCTCAGATGGTTGTTTCTCTAGTTTTCAGTACAGAGATATCTTGGAGTTACTCTAGCACCCTCTGCTGCTCAGTAAAAAAAAATAAAATAAAATTTTCACATCCCCATTATAATGGTCAGTTGCTGAAACAACAAAGAATAGGCTAGCTTGGACTTCAGAATGCGAATGCTGGTATCATTAAGATTTAGCCATTTTAAGCTATGAGTTGATGATTATGGGGAGAAAAGGGATGGCCCAGAGAAGATTAACTGCTGAGGAATCCTGCCATTCTAGAGGACACTCCAAGATCTTTGTAAATCTCCAACTTTAGTGATATCATGAAAACATAACATTTCTCCTCTAAAGTGCCATGTTGTATAATCTAATTTATAAAGATGTTAAAATTAATTATGTCACAAAAATAGTCTCTGTCTTATTATGTTATATCATTATGTGGTAACATTTATAACATTAACCATGAACTAACTTTAATCTGCAAAGAAACAAAATTTTCATCACAAGTAGAGAATGATACAGGTATGTGTAGACTACCTACCACCTTCAGTATAGATTACAACTTAACATAAAGAAAACAAAAATCCTCAAAACTGGACCAGTAAGCAACATCATGATAAACGGAGAAAATATTGAAGTTGTCAAGGATTTCATTTTACTTGTGTCTGAGTTATTTAGTGCTGCTATAACAGAAATACCACAAGTCAATGACTTTAACAAAGAGAAATTTATTCTCTCACAGTCTAGGAGGCTAGAAGGCCATATTCAGGGTACCAGCTCCAGGGGAAGGTTCTCTCTCTCTCTGTCTGCTCTAAGGGAAAGTCCTTGTCATCAATCTTCCCCGATCTAAGAGCTTCTCAGTGCAGGAACCCCAGGTCCAAAGGATGTGCTCTGCTCTTGGCACTGCTTTCTTGGTGGTATGAGGTCTTCCTGTCTCTCTGCTCCCTTCTCTCTTTTATATCTCAAAAGAGACTGATTCAAGACACAACCTAATCTTATAGATTGAGTCCTGCCTCATTAACATAACTGCCTCTAATCCTCCCTCCTTAACATTATAGAGGTAGGATTTACAACACATAGGAAAATCACATCAGATGACATTATGGTGGACAGTAACACAGTACTGGGAATCATGGCCTAGCCAAGTTGACACACATTTTTAGGGGACGCAATTCAGCTCCTAACAACTTGGATCCCTAATCAATCAATGCCCATGGAAGCAGCAGTCAAGAAATCAAATGATGCATTGCATTGGGCAGATCTGCTGCAAAAGACCTCTTTAAAGTGTTCAAAAGCAAAGATGTCACCTTGGGGACTAAGGTGTGCCTCACCCAAGCCATGGCATTTTTAGTCATCTCATATGCATGCAAAAGCTGGCCAATGAATAAGAAAGACTAAAGAAGAATTGATGCCTTAGAATTATGGTGTTGGCAAAGAATATTGAATATACCATGGACTGCCAGAAGGATGAACAAGTCTGTCTTGGAAGAAGTACAGGCAGAATGCTCCTTAGAAGTTACGCTGGTGAGACTTCGTCTCACATGCTTTGGACGTGTCATCAGGAGGGACCAGTCCCTGGAGAAGGACACCATGCTTGGTAGAGGGTCAGCGAAAAAGATGAAGATCCTCGATGAGATGGATTGACGCAGTGGCTGCAACAATGGGCTCAAACATAGCAACGATTATGAAGATGGCGCAGGACCTGGCAGTGTTTCATTCTGTTGTAATAGGGTTGCTATGAGTTGGAACTGACTTGATGGTATGTCTTGTAAAAGTAATTACTATGCATTGTAGACCTTCAGATTGCCCAAAGAGTCAAATTCTCGAATGTTGAATCCACTGAGGCCAAGGGTCTACTACAAAAAATAATCACTCTTGGCAGAGTATGCCTTTTTAGCTCTGGAGAAAAGAAGACAACAGTATCCAAACACTTACAATAACATGATAGTTTGTCCATCCTACTCTGGAGATAATTCACTTTCTGTAAATCACCTTCTACCTTACTTAATCCAAGGGGCTGTTTAAACATCATGTTGTTGTTTGGTGCTGTCGAGTCAGTTCTGAGTCATAGCAACCCTGTGGACAACAGAACAAAATAGTGCCCAGTCCTGCACCGTCCTCATGATCCTTGTTATGCTCGAGCCCGTTGTTGCAGCCATTGTGTATTGAGTATTTTAAGATAAATTTTTGCTGTTTGTGATCTATTACTATTTTCTCCTTGCTCTGTCTTTTTTTTAGGGGGAGGCATTTGTGGGGAAAAAATGATATGCTATAAAAAATTTGTTTTATGAATTAACTTGCAGGTTCATTTCAATTGCATAGGCAATCTAATTTTCTTAGAAATACCAAATGCGCCAGTAACATTTATTCTATGTCACTAAAGAGTACAGTACTAAAATCAATGGATACAGCAAATTCGGAGACTTAATTTTCTTCAACAAGGCAACGTGCCCCCCTTTGTTTTTTTCTAGCATGATAATGTGGTTATACCATATGCCTGACTTATAAATTGTCTAACTGGAGAGGCATTATAACATAATAGAAAGACTGTGGGCCTTAAAATTATTTTAAAAATCTGGATTCAAGTATAACTGCTACAGTTTTTGATCTGTGATTTTTCTGCAGAGTACTTGCCATTATCTAAGCCTTTGTTTTCTCATTTTTTCATCAGTGAACTGGAGATGGTGATAGCTTCTTGAGGTTTTTATAAGGACTAAATTAACTGAATTAACACGATAAAGCAACTGGTAGGGAGCCAGAAACAGCAGATGTACAATGACCAGTAGCAGTTTAATTTTTGATGTTTTCCCCTTTATTCACAGATGTTTACATCCATCTTTAATGGTATTTATTGGCTATCTACAGTTTAAAATTTTTAGTGGAGACAGAAGTGTTGTCAAGATTGTTTATGTTTATTAATTGATTTTTTCAACTTTATTTGAATATATATACTATGTGTAAAATGAACCTCATTCTAATGAAAGGCTATTAATGAAAGGATTGTTAATATAATAAATTGTGCCTTGTTTCCAGGTAATATATTGGTCTGCTTTACTACAGGATTTAATTTTGTATGAATTTATCTTAATTTTCTAGACCACATAAAGTAACACAATTAACATCATTTCATTTCATTAACAGGGAAGGTGTTTGTTTGCAAGTGGCAGTCCATTTGAGCCAGTGAAACTCAGTGACGGGCAAGTCTTTATGCCAGGTCAAGGGAACAATGCGTATATTTTTCCAGGTAAATGCCACCACTGCTTGTTAGAGAGTAATAGTTAATTACATAAAATTACTTTGGGGAATTCTTTAAAAGATTAAAATGAACAACAGTATTTGTAGAATTTAGGTATGAAAGTACAGGGAATTCAGCAAGTCTCATAATGCTCTATTTCCCCTGAAGATTTATTTATATTGTTAATTAAGCTTGTTTTTATTATAGAAATAATACAGTATATGGTTTATAAAAATGCAAAAAGAACAGAATGGTTTAAAATGCGGATTGTCTTCCTTGTGTACCTCTTTATGACACTTCTTAGATATAGCCACTGTCAGTGCTTTTCCTTTTGAGTTTTTCTGGTGGTTACCATCATAACTGATATGCTTATCCATCTTTATCTTGATTCATCAACTGTAGACTATATTATGAATTTCCCAGTATGAAATATAAGTAATATTATGCCTTCTAATACTTGCTTCCCCTCTCCAGTGCTCAATATTTGTTACTACTATTAGTTTTTCTAGTACTTAAACTTTTATCTTTAGATAATATATTTAAAGAAAGAATTTTTGTTAGCAAATTAAGATAGTTTTTATTAGCTTGTTACAGGGGAAAAAGGAAAAACTCTGATGTTTAGCATTCTTGTCTCCTCTCATTCCGTCCCTCAATTTGGGCTAACATTTCTACATTGTAGACTTTTGTTTTGTGACATTTACATTGTGTTCTGTCACCGTCTATGCTTTGTTTATGGATTGATTCTGAAAACTAAAAACCATAGTTAAGTAAATGTTATTCCCTGTCTAAATAAGAGTGTGATTTTATAAATAGAGTAGAATATCCAGTTTTACATCACTGAATTTTTCAGACAAGAGTAAAACCTTGAAAGCATCAAATATAATGAATCCTCTTTTAATTTCCTGCCAGCTTCATTTCTTCTTGATCCTCCTTCACAGCAAACTATTTCTTGTAAACCATGTTGTTCTTAGTCTTCTATCTCCCATGCATGAGCATTCTTACAGTCTCTGTCTTGCTTTTCTTAGTTTTTACATATCTAAAGCTATCTTTATTTTGTCTTCTTGTTTGATACTTTGGGTGGGTAGAGATTGTAGATCCAAAGTCATTTTCCTCAGAACTTTGAAAACATTCCTCCATTCAATTTCAGCAACCAAGGTTGTTGTTGAGAAATCTAATATGAGTGAGATTCTCATTCCTTTATACATACTAGCTTTTTCTCCATAAGTGTTTTAAATTTTCTCTATATTTCTGAAGTTTTACCGGAATGAATCTGGATTTGGGTTTATTTCCAATTCTTATGCTTGTGTGTAGGTGGGCCATTTTGCTATAAAAATATCTTCTTTGTCAAAGGATTTTTTTTTTTTTCCTGTAATCATTTCTTTTCTTCCATTATTTGTTTTTCCTTATGGAACTTGTGCTAGACCATGGTCAAATCCTCTATTTTCCCTGACTTGTAAATTTTATTTCACATTTTCATTTGACTTGTAAATTTTATTTCACTTTTTTGATTCTGTAATATTCCTGTGGTATTTCCTCATTCATCTATGTCTGTTCTGTTTTTTTAAGCACTTCTAGTGTGTTTTACTTCAATAGTTACTTTTTTTCTTTTTATTATAGAAATGTTTAAACATGTACAAAAGTAGAGGGAGTAGTTCAATGAAGTCCCATGTGTCAGTCTTTTTGTCTTTTTCAGCAGTTATCAACATGTAGCCAGTCTTATTTAATCTATACTTCCTTCTACCCACACCTTCCTTCACTGGGTTATTTTAAAGCAAATCAGAGACATCATATAATAATTTCATTCGTAACTACTTCAGTATGTATCTCTAAAAAAGTAAGTATTTTTTTAACATAACCACAATACTAGTATCACCCCAAAGGAAATTAACAATAATTGCTTAATACTGTGTATCACCAGTTCAGTCAGTTCAGCAATCATTCTTGATTGCAAATAACTTTTTCTTATTCTGTAATTGCTCTTTTTTAATAGTGGCTTTTTCTTAAAGTTGCAGTATTCTCTCAAATCTCTCTGGAGATTCTTATTAGTATTCACTTCATAAAAGAGTCCAAAGCTGACAGACAGAAAAAAGCAACTTGGGGAAAAAACAGGGATTATATGGAGTGAAGGAAAAGTTCAAAAAGAAAAACACTACCAATATTCTGCTGGAGACAAAGGATAGTATTGTATCCCTGAAACAAGACAGAGTTCGGTTAAAAAATGTTTAGAAAACAAAAATGAGCTCTTAAAAATTAAATTAAAATTATTAAAAGTATGACAGCAGAAGGATTAGAAGAAAAAGTTGAGGTAATTACCTAGAAATAAAGTGGACTGGAAATAAAAAAGAAGAAGAAGAAAATTAGAGGACTAGTCCAGGAGGCACAGTATCAGAATAGTAAAAATCCCAGGGAAAGATAATTCACAGACTTCAAGAAAATTTCCCAAAACTGTAAGACCCAAGTTTCCAGACAGAAAGGGCCCACCAAGTGCCAAACATGGTGAGTGAAAATAACACACCTCAGGGCATATTTGAAATTTCAGAATATTAGGTACACAAAAAGACAATACCTAAAAAGGTCTGGAATCAGATTGGCACTGGACTTCTCACCAACAACACTGGAAGCTAGCAGGTGTTAGAATAATGCCTCATAATTCTGAAGGAAAATTATTTCCAAACTAAAGTTCTAAACCCAGACTATCAAATAAGTAGGAAGAAGTAAAAAAGACATTTTCAGAAATTTTCAAGATTTCAAAAAGTGTATCTCCCATGCACTGTTTCTCAGAAAACCACAGGAGAATATATCCTACCAAAAAGAGGGAATAACCAAAAATTATGAAAAAGTGGGATTTAGGAAATTATAAACGGATTTTCTAGAATGACAGCTCCGTATCTGGAATGGAGACCAGCTAGACCAGACTGGAGCAGGCAGAAGGCCTCAGCAGAGATTTATTCTAGAAGATGAAATTAGAGAATATGTGAGGTCACCCAAATACCAGAAGATTTAGACAATCGAGTGAGAGTTTGAGGGTGAAGGAATGTTAAATACTGAAGAAACAAAGTTAAAGGGAAAATACAGTAATTAACTACAGGGAAAACAAAGTTAGGCAGAAAAGGAAAAATAATTATGATATGGTATTAATACATAGCTATGAATAGTATTTATGAAGTCATAATAATATAAACAGTGGATATTGATAGAACCACAATTATGCCCTAAACTATATTGGGAAGAAGAGAGAAGGGTAGAAATGTGAAAGCTAAATACATATGTTTCCCACAAGAAGGAGACAATAGATAATCTCTAAAACTAAAAAATCAATCAGAAGAAATACAAGCATGTTAAGAGGGAGTGAGATAAATATGAAAATTATCAGCTGAAAGAATTAAAAGTACTTGCCTCTATAGAGCAAGAAATGGAGGGTCAAGGTGGACCGGGAACTGCTATCCTTTTTTAACAAGCCTTGATGAATTGCGTGCACTTGGTGTAGTGGTTAAGAGTACGGCTGCTAACCAAAGGGTCGGCCGCTCGACTCCACCAGGCACTCCTTGGAAACCATATGGAGCAGTTGTACGCTGTCCTGTAGGGTCGCTATGAGTCAGAATCAACTCAACGGCAACGGGTTTTTAAACGAGTTATGGTTTAGATAAATGTAAAAAAAAATTGAGAAAAGCCATTTGATATTTCTACAATTGTTTCTTTCAGTGAAAAAGAATTGTAACAGTTAACAACGATCATTCGATTCTATTTTAAGTGTTAGATTTCTCTTCTCTTGGCTGCTTTCTGTTGCAGGGAGGGTATTTGGGATGGAGGTGGATTACCATTTGCTTAAATCTGGGAATTTATTTGGCTCTTTTCATAATAATTTCATAATTTGAAAAGTGACTTTACTAAATAACTTAATTAAAATATATTCTAGGTGTGGCTTTAGCTGTTATTCTCAGTGGCACCCGGCATATTTGTGACACTGTTTTCCTAGAAGCTGCAAAGGTAAATGTTTTAAATATTGTTTTATAAAGGATGGATTATAAAGATGAATGGATGTTAAAAGTAGAGTGTGACTGACCAGGATCACAACGGAGGGTGCTGGACAGAGCTGGAGAAGGATGTAGAACAAAATTCTAACTCACAAAAAAAAAGACCAAATTTACTGGCCCAAAGGAGACTGGAGAAACCCCAAGAGTATGGCCCCCAGACACCCTTTTAGCTCAGTGGTGAAGTCACTTCCAAGGTTCACCATTCAGCCAGGGATTGGACAGCCCCATAAACAAAACGGGACTAATGAGGCACAGCAAGTCCAGGGACAAGGGCTAGAAGGCAGCAGAGGACAGGAAAGCTGGTGATAGGGAACCCAAGGTTGAGTAAGGACAGTGTTGATGTGTAGTGAATTTGTTAACCATTGTCATAGGGCAACATGTGTACTGTTTAATGAGAAACTATTTTGTTCTGTAAACCTGCATCTAAACTGAGTATAGCAGCACAATTGGAAGAGCGTAGTCGATGTCACTGAACTGTGCATGTAGAAATTTTTGAAATTGTCAATCTTTGGCTGTGTATATTTTCACCAAAAAAAAAAAAGATCGAGAAGGGAGAGGGTTGACATGTCGTGGGGTTGTTAACCAATGTCATAAAACAATATGTGTACTACTGTTTAATGAGAAACTATTTGTTCTGTAAACCTTCACCTGAAGTACAATTAAAAAAAAAAAAAAGCATGAGAGAGAGCATGAATTAAATTTGCCTTATGAATAAGAAGGAAGTTACCAATCAGTAGCTTTTTTGGATTTGTCCATCTACTTTTGTAGAAAATTAACTTTTTAAATCATGATTTTTCCAATTTTTTACTGTAAGCTATGAATTGTTTCAAATTTATAACACACGCATTGTACTTGTATATATCTGAAGGTAACATATCATGATAGCATAGATAAAGTATAACTCCTTGCATTTTTTATTAGAAGAGTACTGGTTTATTTGGAGTGCTGGTCTATTGGAGCTCCAGACTTCAAGATATGAGTTCTGAAGAACAAACATTAATGCAAACATTAATGTCAGTTTTCATAGTAGCTGTTGTGATCCTACTTGTGTCAAGCCCTGTATGAAGTAGAATATATACCAGTTAGTCTCTAAATCTGGTTACTTATTATGTAGTGGTGTTTCTGCAGTGGTTTAAGAAATAAAGACAATTATGTTACCTGTACTATTCTCTGCTCTCCCAACCCTCTTTCCATTTCTTTAGGTCCTTATTATTCTGGGTTATTTAAACAAACAAACAAAAGTAAAATGCTCTTTTTCACTGCAGGCACTGACAGATCAGTTGACGGATAAAGAGCTATCCCTAGGGAGACTTTACCCTCCACTTGCTAATATTCAGGAAGTTTCTGTTAACATTGCTATTAAAGTAAGTAATGATTTATTTCTTCCCATCAATTTTAATGATTTTGTTATTATACAAGTAATACAAATTTATTAGAGATAAATTGAAGCATTTAGAAGAGTGTAAAGAAGAAATTTTAGACCACCCATATTTTTACTGCCAGTCTGTAAGCCACATTAATATTGGGGGTTTGTGGCCATCTAGCCTTTTTATCACTGTAAACACATGCATACATACGCACATGTACGCACGTGCACCTGTGCCTATTTTTATAATTGGTTTTATACTGTGCTTTTTCCATTTAGTATATTACAAATCTTTTCCCATGTAAGTCAATAATTATTCTCAGTATGATCATTAATGTTGCATGGTATTATCTTTATTATTATGCCATAATTTATTTAACCATTTCTCTATTTTTGGACATTTAAGCATTTTTAGTTTTTTATTTTTAGAAATAATGCTGTAATGAACATCCTTATAGATATGTATTTATGTGCATATTTGATTGTTTTTCCTTAAAATAAATTCCTAATTGCAAAAACAGAAGGTATTAGTATGCTTAAGGCTCCTGATATATTGCCAAATATCTCTTTAGAAAAAAAGTAGTGACCTACATTGCATCAGCTAGATATAAGTGTGTCTGTTTTCCCACACCTTTGCCCATACTTGAAGCTACTTTTTTTATCTTACATACTTAATAGGTGAAAATGATATATTTTTTATTTAAAGCGTTTTATTTTTAGTGAGATTGAATAATTTTTTGTGTTTATTGAACAATTGTATTTCTTGTGTGAACTGCCTGTTCATGACCTTTGCTCATTTTTATATTAGAATATTTGTCCTTCTACCTTCTAGTATTGATTTATAAAGCCTCTTTAACATAAGGTTAGTGATCCTTCTGTTTGCTATGTTACAGATTTTTTTTCCATTTGTCATTTATGTTAACTTCACAGGATTTTTTGGCATGCCATTCTGTAAGTTTTTTTTTAGTAGAATTATCTGTTTATTTTATGGACTCTTTCCTCACTTTTTATGAATGTTAAGACCTTCTTCCACTTCAAAATATAAATATATCCACCTGCATATTCTAATAACTTACAACTTCTTGATCCCTTTGAGATTTATTTTAATGTATGATGTTAGGCAGGGAAATATTTTTTTCTGAGCAGTCAGTTGCCCACAGCACTATTATTGTTATTTCCAACTGATTGGAATGCTGCTTTTATTAACATATATACTTGATCTGTTACTGGAAAGTTTGTTCCTGACCATTTTTGTCTATTATTAGGCATTGTTTAACTATTATATCGTGTATAATATACGTTAGTATTTGGTAGTATGTATTTCCCTCCATTAGGCTTTTTTGTATTCTCTTGGCTGTTCTAAACTGTTTATTCTTTTTAATGAATTTTTGAATCAGTTTTTAAATTGAAAGAGAACCTTGCAACTTTGTAAACGATGTTACATTTATAATTCAGTTGGGGAAATCGAGTCTTTCAGTATTGAAGTTTTCCCCATTCAGTATCTGTCTCTCTTCACTTATTAAGGTCTTTTAAGTCTTTCAATTTTGTAATGTTTTCTTCATCAGAATGTGGTATGTATCTTATTCTTTTCCTACATAATTTTAAATTTTTGTTATTGCTTATAGGTTTCTTTTTTCCATACAATTATTTTCTCACTGGCCATTGCTTAATACATAGGAACGGTATTACTTTTTTATGAATTTTCTTATAAGCTGTTTCTTTGATGAACAATCTTAATTCCTTTAATGGTTTTTCAGTTGGTTCTTTTGGAATTGTTGAGTTTTGCATCATCTGCAAATGATTTCATTTTCTTTTTTAAATATGTATACAGCTCTTTTTTCTATAGCTTTACTAAATTGGCTGTGACTTTAGACCAATGTTAAGCAGTTGGCTTGATAAGTACCTCCTTGTATTCTAATGATTAAATGTGATGCTAGAATTTTTATTGAAATAACTATTTTCTATCTTTTTAAAGAAGTAGACTTTTGTATCTAGTTTACTAAGATTTTCTTAAACAATGGGATTAAATGTGGACTTCATCAACCACATTTTAAGCTTGTATAAAGATGATCGTAAGATTTTACCTTTTTGATAATGTTCTTGTTGCGTTATTTCAATGCTCATAAGCTAAGCAAAGACTGGGGTTAGTAAAGCATGACATGTTTAGAGAATGATGACAAATCCAGTTGAGCTGAGGTCTAAGGTGTAAGTAGGAAAGTGGTATAAGAGAAGATCCGAGTTTTATTAAGGCCAGCTTGTACAGATACACAATGCCAGACCAAGGAGTCTGAATACCTTACTATTGCAAAACAACTGAGGATTTTAGGTCCCCAGCCTAGGATAAATAGAGTTCAACTTCAGAATTTTAGAGAATGATATTACAAATGGGGCAGCTCTGGGAAGATGTCAGTCAGGAGATTACTAGCATGTCCAAATGAAAGGTAACTCATGAGGTAATAGAGGAGACCTCTGCTTGGCACTGGTTTAGAATCATACACCCAGGATCATGTCTGTCCCCCTTCCTCAGGGGTAGAAAATATGCTGCTTTTCTGGTGGCTGAAGATTTTCCTTTATAGGAGAAGAGGGTTAGGAGAGTCTTGTGGCGTGGCGGGGGGGCTTGTGCCTGTCTCTGCTGGAGCCTGCAGCCGCTGGTCACCTCCTTTCATCCCCACGGGCAGGAGAGTTTGCTTTAGCGCCATTCCGGTATAGCCACCAGTCACCTCCTGCGTGTCTGCGTGACTGAAGGAAGCTCTCGCCAATGTCATGGCTTGACCTCAGTCTTTTGTGGGCACCACATACTTAAATTGAGAACTTAATGTATGACAGGCACTGTGCTACCCCATGAAGAAGTTTTCATGCTTCCTCATTTTACATACAAAAACACTAAGACTCAGAGGGTTTATCCTCACCACCAATCGTGGTGTGTGGCCTGGGAGCAAAGATCAGAAATCATCTCAAGCCAGTTTGAGAGGTAATCTAGCTTAACCGTTTTAGGGTCTGGGATCTAGAATCAGAATGCTTTGGGTTTGAAACGCAGCTCTCACTTTACTACCTTGGCAAGTTATTTAAACTACTTGTACTTCGGTATCCTCATATGTAAACTAAGAGTACTGATAGGATTCTTATGAGGATTAAATGAGATATCCATGTGAAGCACACAGAATATGCTTGGCACTTGGTGATGGTGAGTTGCCATGTACAGTTTCTAGCCCTGATTTTACTTGACCTTATAGTTCTAGTGTCTTAACACCTCATTTATAATAATTTCTGTATCTCTTAACCCAAATTCTAGAGCAAAAACATCATCTCACCTTGGGTTAGGTTTTCACCCTGGTCTAGTCAGCTATGGCTAGGACGTAGAGGCCCCTAGACATGGCTCCGTAAAGTCACCCTGTCAGTGGGGCTGTGAGGGAAGGACACGGGCTGGGCAGGCTGTGGGTCTACCAGACTGACATATATAGAGCTTCAGATTGTTTGTTGGATTGAAATATTAGGGAAATGCTACTAATTCTCCTTGTTTGGTAGAGGGTAGTTTTAAGATGTCAAACTTATGGTGAGATTGCAGATGATTTTTATTTTATCTTTTAAACTTTCCAGAGTTTCTGAATTTTTTAAAAATGAGTCGAAGTAATGTTATTTTTCATTTAAAAGAAAAATGTCATGGAGCTCACTTCTCTGTGTTGTAATAGTACTTCTATTAGGTTAATACGTGGAGCCTGCACAGAAATCTTATTTGTTTTTCAGGTTATACAATACCTGTATGCTAAGAAAATGGCTTTCCGACACCCAGAGCCTGAAGACAAGGCCAAGTATGTTAGAGAAAGACTATGGCGAAGTGAATATGAGTCCCTGCTGCCAGATGTATACGAGTGGCCGGAATCCTCATCAAAGCCTCCCCAGATAGCAGACTAGAAGCACTCCTGCTGATGACTACTTTCCATGCTTCAGGGAACTCCTTTTATTCAGACAAAAAGAAATAATGTTCTCAAATTTGTGGCTTTTTTCTGTGTTTTATTCTCTCCCAACACTTTGCCTGTCTCATTTTTGCCCATGAATCTACACGTCTTTTGGAGGTAGATGTGTTGACTGTATTGCAAATGCCCACCACCACCCTACAATCACATAACCGTAATACTTTAATACTAACATGTAGCCCATACCACTTCAAAGAGATGTTAAAAGGTGTGTTTGTGAATGTCATCACTTGTATTCTTGTATTCACTCTTTCTGAAGTATTTGCTATTTACCATTATGGTAATAATCTTTTCTCACCGAATTCTTTTAGGGTTATTAAAATAGAAATTCACTTTCGTGGATGTGAGTACAAAATTTTTAGAAGAAGCCAAATTTGTCGAGTTTCTAAGGGAAAATTATTGTCAGTATCTAAAAATGTTCTTTCATTTCTGCTTCATTTTACCTCCCTCCTCTGAAGTTCCTTTATACTAGACACATCTAGGGAAATATGAAAAATGTACCCTATTATTTATTTTCTGCAACTAGATTCAGATAACATTGTGAAAGAGAAATGGGAACTGCTGCCTTTAGACGAGCAAAAGTCATTGTTTCAACAGTGTATAAAAATCACAGTGTAACTTTTTTATTTAATAAAAGTAATATCATAAATTTAATTGCTTTAATCTTGCTATTTTATTGCCCAACTGAAAATTTAGGCTTGCTTATTGTGAAAAACATATTTTTATTTTCTTTAGATGATTCTAAGGATGGGGTACAGCTTACCTAATGCACAAATGATGACTAGTGATTTTTTTTTTTTAACAAATCAGTCATGTATTTCATATCTGAATGAGTCGTATTTAACTGGAAAAGCTCTACTCGTCTTCCAACAGTGATGTTCTTTATTACTTGAAATAATTTTGGAATGTTCCTGTGATACATTCCTTTGAAGACCATTAGTTAGTGACAACTCTTTCTACAATTTAGAGCTAAGTTAGAACGAATGAAGTAGGTATTCAGAAGGAAATGCCACTTTTAATCCCAGTGAAATGGGTAATTGGCTAGTGAGACCAGTTTTAATGTGTAGCTTACATATTGGCGAGTTCTAACGGAAAATCTAAAAGCGTTTTGAGAAATAGTAGTTGCTTTTAGGGAACAATATTTTTAAGTGTTCATTCTCAAATATTAACAAGAACAAAAAATTATTCATAGTTACCTATCAGCACACACATTATTTCATTTTTCTCCCCACAGTCATCGCTATGTTAGAACATGATATTCTGTAGGGAAAAGGGACTTCATTTTTTTTGCTTTCATCTTCTACCTATAGATAGACATTAATAATAATTCTGAATATAATTTAACATTTTAAGACTGCTCCAAATGCTGTTGCCATTTGAAAATGCAGTTGGTTAATCCATTTAATAGATTAGTAAGAAGTCTGTTTTATAAATCTGTTCCATAAAATAGTTAAGTCACAATTTCTTTTCTTTTAATTAAGATGAAAGGTTTATGTTTTTCATGTTACTCTTGTCAAAAAAAAAAAAATCACCACTAAAAATATTCTCGTGTGAAATCTTGATTTCAGTTTAATGTTACGAGTATGTGTTGTTGTGTGCTGTCGAGTCGATTCCAACTTATAGTGACCCTATACGACAGGGTAGAGCTGCCCTATAAGGTTTCCTAGGCTATAATCTTTATGGGAGCTGACTGCCAGGTCTTTTCTCCCTTGGAGAAATAGTTTAAGATTTAAGCTAAGAATACAAAGAGGAAATACTAGCATTGAGGGGACAGAATGGGGTAGGCCATAATGGCATCAAATTGAAAAAGAAACATTTTGGCCTTCTATGGAAACTTTCACCTAGCAAGAGGTAATTATTTTAAAAAACAGCAATGGAGAGTCACATTCATTCTTTTGAATAGAGAAGAGATTCTGTAAATTTGTCAGAAATTATTCAGTAGGGAAAAGTGAGAATACATGTTTTTCCAATCCGGCACCACCACCTGTAGTGTGAAGCAATTTGGATAACTAGCAAAGGTAAGGAGTCCCTGGGTGGTGCAGATAGTTAACGCGTTCGCCTCCTAATTGAAAGGTTGGAGGTTTGAGTTCACCCAGAGGCACCTCAGAAGAAAGACCTGGTGATCTAAAAAATCAGCCCTTAAAACCCTTATGGAGCACAGTTCTACTCTGACACATATGGGGTCACCATGAGTTGGAATCAACACAACGGCAACTGGGGAAAAAAAAGTGCAGATAAGGCTAATTACATAAGTATAATGGTAAAAGTTTTCAAGATTTTGGTTAAAATATTTTTAAAGGATGGATTTTTAACCTGAAGGCTGCCTCAGGTTAACCTGTGGGGCTTCTTTAAAATACAGATGCCTCTACTCTCCTCACTCTCGGCCCACTGGGCGACCTGTGATTCTGAGGCATATGCTTCCCTTGCCCCCACAATCACTGCCTTTAAACAGATGTGAGAATAATCTGGAAAGCTAACAAATTCCTGGGCTCCGCCCCAGAGATGTGATTCAGTGGGGGTGGGGTGGGACCTAACATTCTGCATTACTAACACTCCCAGGTGGTGCCCATGCTTCTGGTACAGAGAACACAGAGTGGCATTATATTGTGTAGTAAAAGTTTAGTGCTATAAATTATATAGTTTATATGAAAAAGATCAACTGAAATTGTTCTTAAACAGAACAGTTTTCACCTAGTTCAGTTTTTATAGGAAGTTTATATAAGAACAAAAATTAACATAGAAACTTTAAACAGATTTTCTGAAAATACATGTAACTAGACTACTGTTCAATTCTAAATTATAGATTTAAGTTCTTATTAACACCTAACAACCAATATTTTTCATTTGTAAAAGATTAGTTATCAAATGGATATTTGCTTCTTTGTTATTTTTTGTCACATGACTTACTCTATGCTTTGTCCTTTCTCTAAATTATCAGCCTCCTGAAGAAACAGGATTCTACATTTTTGCAAGAGTTGTCTATGAATTAAGACCAAAGCATAATCATTTTTAAGGGGTGTGCTGCATTAGTTATTGCTCTCAGGTAACTGAGAAAGGTAGCCCAGGATGGACGGTAGGGGAGCGGAGGAAGCCTTGCCTTAGAAAAAATACTTCATCCAAATGCTCCCATAGGTTTTTCCCCAAGCTCATTTAGAGTATTCCTCAAGGATAACTTCTTCCTACTTTTTTTTTTTTATTTAAATTTTTTTTTTTTATTGTACTTCAGGTGAAGGCTTACAGAGCAAATAGTTTCTCATGAAACACTACACATACTGTTTTATGACATTGGTTAACAACCCCACAACATGCCAACCTTCTCCCTTCTCGACCTTTTTTTTTTTTTTTTTTGGTGAAAATACACATAGCCAAAGATACACCATTTCAAAAATTTCTACATGCACAGTTCAGTG